TTTATAATATTAATGCTCTGTAAATTTACATTGAGCACTATTTTGTAAAAATAAAAATATCTATAAGAACACCGGATTATATATCTTACTGTTCTTTCTTTTTATTTTATTATATAATATATATATATATATATATATATATATATTATATATATATATGTGTGTGTTTGATTAAATAATATAGACAAGTTTTGTCTTTATTTTATGTAAATTCTTTTCATATTGTCTGATAAGCTCAATTATATTATCATTAAAGGATGAAAGAAAATCACAATATTGATACATGTTTTTAATCCTATCTAAGCTTTCGGCTTACATAAGCCATTATCAAAGATGACAATTACATCACTTCAGCACTTGGAATTATAAATGTAACTTTGTGAAAAGGCAAATTGAAATAGCCGAAGATATAATTGTCATCTTTGATAATGGCTTATGTAAGCCGAAAGCTTAGATAGGATTAAAAAATATGTATCAACATTGTGATTTTCTTTCATCTTTTAATGATAATGTTATTAAGTTAATCAGACATTATGAAAAGAATTTACATAAAATAAATAGACAAAACTTGTCTACATTATTTAATGAAACATGCATCAATGAAAAAATGCTGCCTAAATACACACAATATATCTCCAAATAAACAGAAAGAACAGACAGATTAGTAATCCACAATTCCTTAGCATTTATTTATTTATTTTTAAAAAAGTGCTCAATATAATGTAGAACAAAATATTATAATATTTTTATTTAAAAAAATATTTTACGTTGCTACATAAAAATTTCTGTTTTGGAACTTAAAATTGTTCCATCATTAGGCAATGTTAGGTAACTTATGATGAAAATAATTTACTTTTGAAAACAGAAAACAATACAGTAGCCTATTTAAGAATGTAAAAGAGCTGGTGCAGGTGGGGGGGACAAGATTTCAAAATTTTGTGGATATGTCTAGGTTAACCAATCAAAAGACAGGTCATGGCTGAAGCAGAAAAGTGAGAACTATAGGTTGGAAGTTAGGGATAGGTATGTTATTCATTCATGTCTAGATGAAGTGACATTTTTAAGATGCATCCTCATTTGCTGACATCCGGTTGTGAATTTAAATTTAAGATACATTGAAATAGAGAAATATATTTAACAGACAATTAATTTTAAAGAATTTCAAGATTTTTAAAAATAATTTTTTTTGTACATGCTTGAGAACTATCTTAAAGGGGACTCCAGTATGATTAAATCATTTTCATATATATTATTTTTTTTGGACCCAAAATACAATACTTATGTTGAATGGGCAATAAAACATGTCAATATTAAAGTTAAAAAAATGAAGGAATTAAATAAATATTATATGTACCATTATATATTAATGAAATAATGGATGTCTAATTGTAAAACATGGTGTTTTTTTTGTTTTTTTTAAATTCTATTAGGTATATTTTAAAGTAAACATTATACAATGCCTACAAAGTACGGTCAACTCATTACACTGATTTACGAGATCATTATTTTTAGGAAATTTAATAATATGCAGCTTTTCATGTAGACACGGGTGACATGGGTCATTTAAGGACTTAACAAATTCCCTTTTTTCTTTTTTTCTTTTTTTAATATTTTCCATTTTACTGTAGGGGTTTTGTTGATTTCTTTTAAATACCAAAAATATTTAGAGAGGGATGTTCTGTTATTGTGCACATTGTTGTTAAAAGAAGAAATATGTTGTTTAAAAGGGATTTTTGTGCTACCAATATAAAATTTCTTAACATCTGGGTTTTCAGTAGATGAAAATAGATTGGTAAACAATTCATTCAGTAAGACATCTATTTTGCAATGGACAATTTATGGGATTTCTACAATTACATAATTAATTGCCAATACTATTGATTTCTGCTTTGGAATTAATAATTAGGTTTAAGTGTTTATTTGAAATTTTATTGTTTTTTTAAAAAAATTTTTTTTTTTTTTTTTTTTTTGTCTTTTGATTGATTAACTTAGGAATACCAATAAAATTTTGAAATCATGTTTCCCCCATCTTTTTTAACTCTTAAATAAGCTATCGTATTGTTTTTTGTCTTCAGAAATAAATCATTTTCATCATAAGTTACCTAACATCGCCTTATGATGGAACAATTTTTTGTCCTGAAACATAGAAATTTTTATGTAGTGATGTAAAATATTTTTAAAAAAAAATATATATATAATATATATATTATATATATATATATATATATATATATATATATATAATACCAATTGGTAATTGTTAGGGATAATTCCAAGGAGAACATTAATCCAAAGAGAGCTCATTGTAAGTAACAAAGCAATATAATAAGTCAAGAAAATCATTAAAAATCCATCTCAGTTATAATTTATTTCATGAATATATTTAAATATTCATCTCTTCCGAAGGTTTTTTAAAAATGAAATCAATTTGTCCAGACATAAGGAAAGAAAAGAAAAAGGAAAAAATTTTATAAGAAAAAAGGAAGAAAGAAAGATAAAAATTTCAATATAATTTTTTGTTTTAAATTTAGGTAAGAAAGAAAGAGAGAGAATGAGGGAGAGAAAGAAAAGGAAGTATGAGCCAATAGGTTGATCTTGAAACAAATTTTTCCTTAAAGGGCTGAACAAGTTAATGTAGTTGATAGGGGAAGGGGTGATCAAAATTAAGAGTTACAGTAATATGTCTAATAGTCATGTCATTTCAGACAGCAAAAACTCATCATCACAAATTCAAATTAATAATAATAATATCTAACATCAATAAAATAAAGTAAAAAAAATAAAAAATTTAAATAATATAAAAAATTAAATAATTAAAAAAATCATGAGATGAATAAAAAACAAATTTAAAGGATTTAAATATATATATATATATATATATATATATATATATAATATATATATATATATATATATATATATATAGAGAGAGAGAGAGATAAAGATAATACTATCAATAATATTAATATAAAAATAATACTAATTAATAATTTAAAATTATAAATCATGTCGGCAAGACAATCACATAAATAACCATATATAAAAATGTGAATACGCACATATAAAAAAAAAAAAGAATCAACACTTCAAGTATATATCCTCCAAAGTCATTGTTTTTAGGGAATTTTAAATCTGTTCTTATGTGTACGCTTGAAAATAAGTCCATTATGAAATTATTTTATTTTATATATATATATATATATAACATTTTCTTCTGCATAAAAGTCATTAGAAAATTTTAGATACTAGGGTCATTTTTTTTTTTTAGGGGAGCAAGCCCAACTTTTGAGGTTGATACACTATATTGACTTGATCCAGTCATCTTGGCAATTTGTTGCTTATTCATACAACTGGTTTTGATTACAAAATATAAATAAAATATGAAAAAGTAATCATTGATAGTTAATATTATTTTTTTTTTTTTTTTTTTTTTTTTTTTTTCAATTTAAATTTGTTTACAATAGTGAAGCACTGAAGATGATACAATTATTAATCCAGAATTGCTGTGTGACGGAAAGCTTAGACAAGCAGAATGATATTTTTGGACAATTTTTTTCTTTATTTCTAAATTGTATGGTAGGCACATGATAGCATTTACTTTTCTTTCAAATTCATAAAACAAGATTACAAGTTGCTTAGAATCTTTTATGTGTGAGGCCTTAAAGGTAATGAATTTGTTAAACTTATTGGTTTGGTCATCATCTCTCTCCTCCCAATTTTGACATCTACTAATGTCTACCTTCCCCATCTCCACTTTAGCAATGGATCTTGGTGGCCACGACTGAGCCGTGACCTTCATCTCATTTGCTACATACAGTTTCTTAGAAAAGTTTAAAAATATTTAAAAATAGACTAGCCAACATATTCCCAGAAAATCGACAACCCTCTTTTCTTTTTTTATGTAAACATTTTTGTTCTTAATTACTTTTAAAGTTTCATAAGGAAAATAATTACAAATATTTGTAGAAACAAATTTTAAAGAAATAACTACGTTATGTTATTGTTATATTTATTAAAATGTTTAACAAAATTGGAGAGACAGTTATTAAGTTTTGAAAGAATTGAAAAAAAAGTCAAATAATTTATCTATTATTGAAAATTAAAATAAAAACCCAGATTCCATTTAAGATTAATGATTCCACCCACGAAATATCTCCTAATCATGGAATGCAGAATAGTGTTCAGTTCAAACACCTAGGTATCTTTGTATGTGGTAATGTTCTTGGAATTTTGAACCAAACCCTTTATTCAGTACACAAGTACAATTCTTCTAATTCTGCTTTCCATGTTTAGGGGATTATTTCATATCTGTTAATACTTGCTATTCTTATTCATGGTTATATCACTTGGCCAAAAATTTTCTACTGAATCAGAAATTTCAGCACGACCAGACCCAGAGATTGAACCTACAACTGCCAGAGAACGAAGTATGTTTTAACCAATATTTTAATCTACTATGCTCTGTTCCTTTTGGTAATAAAAAGGGACCTGAAGAAGATCAGAGTATACATGAAAAAAAAAAGACACACACCTGAAGATGGTTGGAGTATATGGGGAGAAAAGGAAGACACATGGAAAAGGCCTGAATATGTATGGAAAAAAAGTGAGAGACAGTTGAAGAAGATTGGAGAATACATGTTAAAAACATTGTGCATAGAACAAACAAAATGAGCAGCTTAAAAATTCTGTCAAAAAATTACTCTGTCATTATAACTATCTGTGATAGGGCACCTCGGCGTGTTGTAATGGTTAGCAAGCTTGTCTCGGTAAAACAGTTACGACTGAGTAGTGAGTTCGATTCTCACTGGGTGCCTCATACTTTCGGCCTTGTGCCACATCTAAGCTATGCTTGGAAAATCAATATAAATATCTGTGATCTAAATTTTAACTTCGACCCTGATTAAGTGGGTACTTCAGCTAGTATTGGATTATGATTGAATTCTAAGATCAAGTTAAGTGGCCCTTGTATGTCTCTAAACTGTTCAATTTTTCTTTTGCAGAAGTGGATCTTCAGCAGCAGAGTGTGCCAACAGAAGTATTTGGAGGACTTGTTGGAGAAGAGGATGACCAGTAAAACAATCCTTAGACAATTTTATCACATTCAATTATCAACTCAATAAATATATTTTTTATTCACTTTCACTTTCATTATTTATCTTCTAAACTTTGTTTTTCATTAAAGAATATCTGTTTTAGTATCAAATATTTTTTTTGATTCCCTATGATAAAACCAAATATTAAAAAAAAACAATTTGATGAAGACTTTGGTTCATCATGCTCTAATTCTTTGTTTTAAGATCAATTTAAATTCTAAAGTTGAATTTATTATGTAAGCTTTAGTTGAAAATGAATACTCTCTTAATATTGAGCAATATAGTATTCATGTTAAATAATAAACTGAAACACGATGGTCCAGAATATTGTCCTATCTATTAACAATTACTTTGGATTGGGGATGTAAGCACAAGATTTACCAGGCAAATATCTCTTGAAGTGTTATTTTTCTGCTAAACCTTGGTTTATTTTTACTTTCCAATCTATTTTGCAATCTATCCATAAGGATGCCATGACAATATTTTGCGGCACACTTAAGAGAATTGTGTGACACACTAATCTGGCACAGCAGTTGAGAATCACTATAACAATGGAATGAATCCTCATCCCTACAGTCATGTTTTACAACCCCCACCCACTAATAATTCAGAATTCCAGATTATGGAGAAGACAATGTAAAACCACTCTTACTTTTTTTTTAAGGCAATTCACCCCAAGCAAAGACTATGCTTCCCAAGTAGGCATAGCAATTTACAGGCAAGCAAGGCAATAAAGCCACTAAGGTACAAGGTGTTACTGAATATGAAAGAATGAAGAAAAGAAAAACATTAAGGAGAGAAAACAATAAAAGAACAGGAATTAAGAAGATAATGAGTGAGATTGTGTCCAAATTTTTCAAGATCAAAGTTAAATGGAAAGCAAGTGACTGGAAGCAAGATTAGATGTAACAAACTTCTATGCTAATAGATCTTTCTTTCGTACTTCTTGCTTGTGGAATTTTCTTCCAGCTAGCATTGCCCCCAATCCTCCAGACATTGCTTGTCCAGACTTGGTTTGTGGTGCCAACTCTGGCTCCATTGATGAATTGCAAGACAGTCTTCTTCAGACAATGACAACCATAAAATTCATTTCAGTAAGGAAAATTTACTTAGAATCAAAGAAAAGAGTGTAATATCTAATCTCCTATATGGAAGTGAATACGTGTGTGTGTGTGTGTGTGTATATACACACACACACACACTACAGTTCAAAAGTTTGAAACCACCCCTAGAATTAGCATCAGATGAATGTGACAGAAGAGTGAAACATGTCCATCCCAAAAATGGAAAAAAGCTCTTTGAGTCATTGAAAAAAGAATGGAATCAATTATCAAACTTATACTTTGAAAAACTTTTGCAACAAATGCCAAAAATTTGTGCTGCAGTAATCAAGGCAAAAGAAGGATATTTTCACGAGAGGAAAATTTAATCGTAAAATGCTTCATTTTTTTTTTTTTTTTTTTTTTTTTTTTTTAAACCATATATAAAAATTTTCTCTTATTTAAAGTAAAAATAACTACTTTTGGAGCCAATTTAAAAAATTATCATGGGCGATCTCAAACTTTTGAACTGTAGTGTGTGTGTGTGCATGTGCACATTGCATCAAAAAATCAAACATTCAAAGGGAACACTATCACCATGCATCTTTGGAATTGGTCACAATCACCGACTTCCAGTGTCCCCATTGCTTCAGACAGCACAGCCACCTCCAGATCCGCTGATGTATTGCAAGATGTATTTCTGAACTGAAGAAAAACTGCGAACAAGGGAGTTTTATCAATACTTTTAACTCTATTGTTACATGTAAGAAAGTATTGTTTTCGAAATTATTAAAGTAGAAACTAAATCTAAAGAAAACTAAAATGATCTGTACCATCAGAAAATGATTGCTGGATTTAAGTCATTTTGCTGATGTATTGATTATATTATGGTTATTTCAATTTGGGCTTTTTACCAAAAAGTCTTCTTCATTTGTCATGGAATTATTTTTTGACAACAACGTACTGCAACATTTCTCCTACTCGGCTTCTAAACATACATTTCAATGTCTCATGACATAACTACAGTCACAAATCCTTTTGTTCAATTACAAAAAAATCATATGACGGTTTATTTATGTGCCAAAAAGAATGTATTTAATTTTTAAAACAAAGCAAGATTGAGCGATAGCTTAATGGTTAAATACTTGGATGAAAGCTGTGACAACAAAGTCTCTGGTTCAATCTTCATTACTAACTCTGAAAAAAAAAAAAAAATTCTCTTGAGCATTTTTGCATGCATTTCTAACTGAATAATTAATTTGTTATCTGTACCCAATAAGTTATCCTTTTTTTCTTATTTTTTTTTATCAACACAAGTAAGGCAATAATGCCACTAAGACACAAGAGGTTATGAGTAAAAGAGAAGACTTCTTTAGGTGTTAGCCCTGATGAACTCCCCCCCTCCCCCCACATTAATGTTATCTAGAAGCATGACCATTCAACATGATCTTCATTACCTGATATGTTAAGAACGATTGGATTAAACCAAATATCCAGCCAGAGAAAAGATCTTCCCGATAACCTTGTTACAGATCCTCTATTGTAGTACATAAAAAAAGAAAAATTCTGCTTGTCTCTCCCTTAGCATGATCGTTATGCCATGCCAATACCTTATAAATAATGGACTATTCTATTTTGATAGCATGAAAAGACTGAGTCATACCAGAGACACTACTTGGTTTCAATGGGGAAAATGAAAGAAGTGTTTAACATCTGCCAATACCTCATAAATAATGAACTATTCCATTGTGAATGTGTGGAAAGACAGAAAAGACTTATCAGAGACACTACTTGGTTTCAATGGGGAAAAAGAACAAAGACAAGAAGTGTTTAACATCTGTTTAAGTGAAATGGAAAAAGTTGTCAATTTCAAACCTTTTTCATTTGCACCTACTTACTTCATAAAATAATGACCAGCATCCATATTTATATGATTGTTATTGCAATATTTTGTTAGTTGTTAAGCTCAAATATTTAACAATGTGATTAGTGGAATTTCTATGGATATTTAATTGTTGTAGAACTTACCATGAGCTTATTCAATCATTAACTTAAGAATTAAGATTCATCAAAAAATGAAAATAAGAAATATGTGAAATTTTTACAAATATATCTCATGAATAAGAATTGACAAGGCTTCATCTAATAATAAAATTCAAGATAATATTACTGCTAATACTACTAGTGGAAATAAAGCAATTGAAATGAAGACGAAAGAAATACTAGTGAAAAATGAATAAGATTTGACAAGGCTTCATCTAATAATAAAAAATTCAAGATAAGCAAGTCTCTATAATTACAAATTTTATTTTCAAGATGATTTCTTAATGTTAAATCTATAATAATTTCCTTTTCTTTACTGTGTTATGCATTTTGTAATAACCTAAGAAGCTATTCTGCATGTTTAAGTGAGAAAACAAAAAATTAATTGATAGAATAAATAGAATAGTTATGTGATTTCTTCTCTTACACTTCTCTCATGTGGAACTTCCTTCTGTCTTCTTGCTTTCCAGTCTGGTCTTCAAAAATTTAAATGCAATGTCAATTGTTGTTGTCTTAATTCCTGTTACTTTATTTTTCTCACCCCTTAATGTTTTTCCTTTTCTCATATGCTTTACACTCAGTAACCTCCCCCTTTACATCTTAGTGACTCTATTGCCTTACTTGGAGTGAAATGAATAAAAACAAAACGGCTATAAATAACATTACACTTTATTTGTTCAATTAGAGATAGAATGAGTTAATAACAAATTACAATGGGTACCATATGATAATTGTTATTTCCTTAATTTCATTTAAATTTTTGAAGATCAGTGACTACAGTGTAACCCGGATATAAGAGAGTTGTCGGGACCAGAGAAGAAGTCTCTTATATCCGGGTTTGGTCTATTATATATACATTAACACAGGCTCTAATTTAGGACCAGAGAAAATATCTCTTATATCCGGGTTTCTCTTATATCTGGGTTTCTTATATCCGGGTTACACTGTATATGAATTTCAAATTTTGATAATCAAAGACTTTATGAATTTCAAATTTTGAAGATCAAAGACTTTATGAATTTCAAATTTTGAAGATCAAAGACATGAATTAAAGCCCAGTACTAGATTGGTGACAAGATCTTATTTTACAGTTGAAATGACTATAGATATAACCATAACTTTTATACTAACAGTTTCTTCTCTCACACGTTTGTGAAAGTCTCTTCTGGGTTCTTGCTTTCCAGTCAACTTTGAACTTCAAAAATTTTAATCCAATATCAATCGTTATCCTCTGTCTTTTTAATTCCTGTTCCTTATTTTTTTTTCTCTCATTAATAATGTTTTTTGTTTTCTCATATTCTTTTACACTCAGTAACCTCTTGTGTCTTAGTGGCTTTATTGCCTTGCTTGGTATGAAATGATTAAAAAAATATGCTTCTGTGCTCATTTATTTGGATTAAATATTTCAACATATTGTTTAAATTGCTTGATGAATTATTCTCATTACTATTAAGATTTGACTATATTTTTGTTGTTTACTCTTTGTAGCCTTAAGTTATCTGAATATTTTACATGAAGCATTGTCATTATTATTCATTTTTGGCTAGTCTTTTTTTCTTATTTCTCTTGCTTCTTTACACCTAGTAGTAGTAGTTGTGTGAATTTGTTAGATGAAACATTGTCATTACTATTAATTTTCTACTCTTCATTCTTTCATTTTATTTCTCTTGCGACTTTATGAATAGTAATGGTAATATTAGCCATTTCTTTATTTGTTAGTTTTACGGCATATCAACGTCCTTATGGGTTATTTAATGCCAAAATTTAATTTTCTTGGGAGCATTAGTAATTTCTTTTACAAAAAATGTATTGCTGGTATTTTTTCTTTTTTGTTACAAAAATGTGTGTAATTGCTTTACTATGAAAACATATTGCTGGTATTTTTACTATAAAATTTT